GTGCCCAGACATTCCCTCTCCTCCTCCTTCTCCTCCTCCTCCTCCTCCTTTCCTTCTGTCCTCCTCCTCCTTTCCTCCTCCTTCTCCTCCTCCTCCCCTCCTTTCCTCCTCCTCCTCCTCCTCCTCTTCCTCCTCCTCCTCCCTCCTCATCCTCCTCGTTCTCCTCCTCCTTCTTCCTCCTCCTCGTCTCCTCCTCGGTCTCTCCTCCTCCTCCTCCTCCTCCTCATCGTTCTTCTTCTCCTCCTCCTCCTCCTCCTCCTCCTCCGCTTCCGCCTTGTTTTTCCTCCTGCTCCTCCTCCTCTCGGTTCTTTTCTTCTCCTCCGCCTCTCCGCCTCTCCGCCTCTCCGCCTCTCCGCCTCTCCGCCTCTCCGCCTCTCCGCCTCTCCGCCTCTCCTCCTCCTCCTCCTCCTCCTCCTCCTCCTCCTCCTCCTCCTCCTCCTCCTCCTCCTCCTCCTCCTCCTCCTCCTCCTAGCCGTTACGGCGCAGGTGGCGACCCTGCGCGTACGCAGCGACAAACACTCGTAACGGCTAATTGTCGTTGCGGGCCAAAGCTTTCAAAGACTCCTGTCGGAGATTCCATGGCTCATGGCGGCGGCGGCGGCAAAGGCGCGGCGGCTGGCAAAGGCGCTGCTGTTGCTTCTGCTCGGCGCACTTCAATGCCACCATGGACGGAGGAACGTCGTCGCCGTTGGGGAGGAACCTGGACTCGCACCTGGCCTCGTGATACGAGCCAGGACGAGGACTGGGACTGGTACATTTCCGATGGGACGAAGCGCGGTGTCACTTGCCCTAACCCCAACTGTGGCTGCAAGAAAAATCTCAAAGGATATATCTTCTGTCGTCAGTGCGGGACATCACTTACGGGCAAGGGCAAAAAGCATCCACAGGAGACCTCCGATGGAGGGATTCTGTCTGCTCCACCCCTCGCTCTCGAATGGCCTCTGCTCCCAGGGCCAGTCAAAGGAACCAAGGGCGGAGGAAAAGCCAAAGACAAAGGTGAGGGAGCGGGTGGGAAAGGAGGAGACGACAAGCGAGGTGTACCCGTTGGGCGCACCGCTCAGGCTCCGCTGCCTCAAGGCCTCGTCACCTTCATGGATGCTGACAAAGCTCAGAAGCTGGCGGAAATGGCCCGAGACGCTGGAGACCCGGTGGGTGAACAGCGCTACTTGGGCCTGGTGGCTTTGGCCAAGGCTGCCCAGCCTCGCCCACCCACCACGAAGCAGCGCCTGGAGAAGTTCGAGGGCATCCAGCTGGAAATCCAGAACCAGATCCAGCAGGACCTCGACAAGCTCGACCGCTGGGCGAAGTCTCGAGACGCTGTTCTTGAGCGGGTGGCCAACCTCAAGGACCAGCTCGAGCACGCCAGGCAGGAACACAAGCAGGCGGTGCTGGATCTTCAGTCCCAGTACGCCGCCGAGACCCCCAAAACGGCCCCCAAGATCAGCATCCGCGAGATCTGCGAGGGACGGCTTGATCTGGAGAACATCCTCACCATGGATGACTTCTTGGGGACCCAGGAGGCACAGGAGCTGTATGACCTCGAGTCTCAGGAGGTGGAGGAGCTCACGAAGAGGAAGGACGAAGTGGCGCAGCAAATCCAGTAGGGGTTGGCCGACTACTTCAAGGCCTCCCTCGACAAAGTCAAGGCTGCCCAGGCGGCCCAAAAAGAGCAACTCCAACGGCTCGAAGGCAAGAAGAGGAAGATTGGAGGAGGAGACCCTGTGCCAGGCACCGCAGCGGTCGGCAACGATGGTGCTGGCTCTGCTCCAGCGGCCTCTGCTGCAGCTGCTGCCGCACCCGCTGCCGCCGAGGGAACCAAGCATGCGGCTGAAGGTGCGCCCGCATTCGAAGAGCGCCTGGCGGCTGCGATCCAGGAGCGCGAGACGAAGAATATTTAGCAGCGATTCGTCGCGAGGCGCCCCAGGACCTCCACGATACGATCCTGCCCACCTCGAAGCTTCGCGCTTGGGGCGGGAGGTGGAGCATCGTGTGGAGGGGGGAACGGGCACTGGTTCCTCGAATGCCTCAGGACCTCTGCGTTACGATCCTGCCCAGCCTGAAGCTTCGCGCTCAGGTAGGGAGGTGGAGCAATGCATGGAGGGGGGAACGCCGTCTGGGGCATCATGCCCTTTGCGGCGGGCTGCCCTGGAGCCAATCCAGGGAACGACTACTTCGAAGGTTGCAACGATTTCGAGTGCGACGTCGAAGTTTTGGGCCCATAATATAGTGGACCTTGATTGGCCTGATACGGGTTTCCCAGTCCCCGCGATCAGGACGCAGCCCACCGTCTCCCTGATAGGGACTTTGGAGCCTGCCGTGCCTCTGCAACAAGCTTCTGCAGTCTTGGAGAGCATTGACCTCACAAGTGATAAAGTTTTGGTGCATGAACGATTTGTTGACTTGACCGCTGACGAAAGCAGTCCAGAAACGATTGACCTCACTTCTGAATGTAAAGTTTTGCTTCCGACAGTGGCGGTAACTGCTGCAGTCTCCGATGGAGCAAGTAGTGTGGACCAACCCTTAATACCTCTAGCGAGTCAGATTGAGATGCCGTATACCCTCAAACTGCACTCTCAGATCACGGCCCCAACTAGGACCGTGCACGCGCGAGGCGAAGCCACTTGGAAGCTTGCGACGGTCAATCTTACATCGGCCCAAGCGGAGGGACAGAAAATCTCAGCAGTTGGAGCGATGCTCGCACGGCTGGGATTTGACGGTATGGCCATCCAGGAGCATAAACTTCTCAAGCAAAAGATTGGAGATGTCATTGCCAGGTTAAAACACGAAGGATGGCATGCAGCACCCACCTCCGCGAAGGAAGGCAAGACGATCCATGCTGCGTCGGCAGGGGTCGGTGTCGCCATGACGGCTGACATAGCCATGGCAGCACCGCCCTCATTGGGACGATGGTTTCAGCACCCGCAGTCGGAGAGGTTCCATGCTCAGCTCTGCGAAGGAATGGTACCAGGAGGCTTCTTTTTCATCTCCTGCTACTTTTACTCAGGTACTGGTGTCGATTTGTACAACAAACACCTCCTCAGAGACGTCTTGGGATGGATCAAGGCCGTGGGGCGACCGTTTATCCTAGGGGCCGATTGGAACATGACGCCTCAGGAGCTCGTAGACCTTGGGGAGCTCAGGACTTTCCCTGCAACTATTGTGGCGCCGAGTGTCTGGACATGTAGTGCAGGAAAAGGGAGGACCATAGACTATTTCCTCGTCTCTGATACTTTGCGCGGCATGGTCAAGTCAGTCTACAGGATTGAGGGCCTGCCTATTGCTACGCATTGGGGTGTTGGGATCACTTTAAAGAAAGGAGCAGGATCCATCTTGATACAACAAATGTGCCTACCTAAGCCACTGCCGACGGAGCTCCCGATGGGAGCTCCGCGGCCGCCACCTGACTACACGGAAGTTGTAAAAGAAACCGAGCTTGTTCGCGATCAGGAAGACCTGACTTGGGCCTACGCCTTATGGGCCATGCAGGCCGAAAAAGAGCTCCTTGATAGGTATCAACTTCCTCCTGATCAGGTTAGGCCGTATCAAGGGCGTGGAGATCTTGATAAACCAAAGTTAAAGTTGGTGGCAGCAATCCGCAGTACCGCTAAGGCAGTGGCTGAAGGCAGTCAGCTATCACGCTGGTGGCGCAAGGCGGGCAACACGTGCATTGACTTAGCCAATGCATTGCACCGTGGGACGGCAGTCACGACCAAGTTCATCCAGGATCGCCTCCGCACCATCAGAAAGCTCCGGAACATCAAAAACACAGATGTTACTTGGAATGCTTGGATCATGCGCGCTACGGCGGAATGGTGCTTATGCGAAGACTGGCTGCGAGACATGAGCTGGGCTGCGGCAAAAGAAGCAACCAGCATCGAAATCAAGTGTGCCAAGAAGCGACTCACCCTTTGGAAACGCGAGGTACAGACGCAAGTCCAAAACACCACCGCCAAGGCGCACGCTTGGAGTAAGGCGCCGCAAACTTGGGTGCCTGCACGCGCAGAGCATCAAGGACGAGGTGTAGTTGCTCACGCACAGAGGCTCTAAGAAAATCTAGATGTCTGGAAGCAGGTTTGGGAGCATACTGATGGTGCTGCTTCCTTCTGCGAAAAGATACACGACTTCGGCGATGAGGAGCCTCCACCAAAGCTTACTCCTCAGGATGTCAGGGTTGCTGCCAGAACTTTCAGCTGCAAAACTGCCTCGGGCACTGACCGAATACGGCCTCGTTCGATGGCGATGCTTTCGGATGAGTGCCTCACGGCATTTGCTGAAGTGATGCATCAAGCGGAATGCCTCGGCAAGTTGCCTGAGCATTTACGTAACACTCTGTTGCCTCAGTTACCCAAGCCCGACGGGGGGCATCGCCTGATAGGCTTGCTCCCCGACGCGCTGCGCGTATACAATAAAGCCCGCAAGCCACAACAGGACAGATGGAATGCAGGGCATAAGAGACATTATGAATATGCCAGTGCTGGCCGCAGCACGGAACAAGCAGTTTGGAGGCAAGCCCTGATAGTGGAGACCACAAAGTCCATGGGTAAGCACACAGCAGCGGTCCTAATAGACTTGGCCAAAGCGTTCGAGACCATCGATCATGACCTTCTCTGGGACTCTGCTGTGCGTCACGGATTCCCACGACGTAGAATGGCCATGCTGTTACACTGTTATGGGGGTAGAAGGTCCATCAAATTTGGATCCCACATGAGCAATGTTATCATGACCAACCGAGGAGTGATTGCAGGCTGTGGTTTCGCTGTAAGCGTCATGAAATGCTTTACCATGGACATATATGACAGAATGTATTACCTATGGCCTAGTATCGACCTCTCGGTGGTAGTCGACGACTCCACCGTGCAGGCTGGAGGGCAAACAAAGGACGTAGTCAAAACTGTAGCTCGGGCAGCTCAGTTTGCTTGCGAACAGTTCAAGCAGCGTAGAATGAAAGTTAGCCTGGACAAAGGTCAAGTAGTTGCTAGCCACGATAAAATTGCCAGGCA